ATTATAAAGAACAAGGCCTCGACAATATAGGTCATTGGCCGCTCTAAAAATATTATATTATAACACATGATTTTTATGAGAAATCCGTTTTATAACACATGACTCTTATGAGACTTAAATTTATAACACTTGACTTTCGAACACTTGACATAGTACCGAAAAAAAGTGATCGCAGCAGTTGAAGCAGGTGAAAAAAAAAAGATGTTGCTCTACGTTTTGGCATCCCAGCTTCTACGCTTTCAACAATACTAAAACAAAAGGACCATCTTACAACATTCACACCTTATTCATCGCGGATCAGACAGAAAAAATGTGAGTACCCCGATCTGGAAGAATGTCTTATGGCTTGGTTTACTCAATGTAGGCAAAATAATATTCCATTATCAGGACCTATTTTAAAAGAAAAATCTAAGTTGTTTGCTGCCAACTTAGGTATCGCAAATTTTCAAGCTAGTGAGGGTTGGTTGGAAAAATTTAAAAAACGTCATGATTTAACTTTCAAAAAAGTATGTGGAGAGAGTGCAAGTGTTGACCCGTGCATTTCACAAGATTGGAAAAATGAGTTAATCAATCTATTGGTTGATTATGATGCTAGGGATATTTTTAATGCCGATGAGACCGGACTTTTTTACAAATGTTTACMAGATCGCACTTTGACATTTAAAAACGAAAAATGTCATAGTGGTAAAAATAGTAAAGAATGGATAACAGTGATKTTGGCCGCGAACATRGATGGATCCCAGAAACTTGCCGTTAATGATCGGAAAATTTGCTAACCCACGCTGTTTCAAAAACGTAAAATCTTTCCCACTAATGTACCGGTCAAATAAAAAGGCGTGGATGACAGGTGTATTGTTTACAGAGTGGTTGTTATGTATCGATGTAGATATGAAAAAAGCAAATCGAAAAATTTTGATGTTCGTTGACAACTGTACCGCACACAATAATATTCCTCATCTTGAAAATATAAAAATTCATTTTTTACCTCCCAACACTACAT